TATACACACACACGAATTAAATAAGAAGTTGGTTGATAAAATAATACTTTTTTTGGACAATTGATAAAATAATACTTATTAACAATAGTTATAATAAATACACTAAAGAAGCGTGATGAATAAGGATGTAGCTTTAAAAAATTCAAGTGCAACTGGGTGAGTTGGCATTTCGACGGTGTAATCTAACTTTGATTTGTATGTATTATTGTAATATTGTATTATTTCGAATTGAAGTTCCCACACCGGACCAATTAGCATATCCCTCCTTCCAAGAACAGTCCAAATCCAACTTTCGTATTGTACGTATTGTATACTTCGAATTCAGGTTTCCCACACCGGATGAATTAGTAATCCCTCCTTCCGAAAACTCAATATAATAACTATTCCATACCCGCACCGTGTATGCAAAGTACACGCCTTTTACCACGCCTATTGAGTAGGCGAGGCGTTTTGTTGCCGCATCAAGTGTAGGCGCGCCTAGGCGGGCGCTTTTGCAAGCCTTTTAGAACATGGCCCCTTACAGAAGGATCATACAAATTTGTCACGAACTCTATTTTGTGTTTTTTCGAGTTAGTCTTAGTCAATCCATCCATTCCAAACACAAAACAAATTAAAATTTCGTTAATCCTAACAAATAAATACTCAAAATATTTATATAGCATGATTATATGCTTGTTCGAAGAATATGGTTTAGATACTTCGTAAATATTACTCCGTACTCCAATCCCCCCTTTGCCATAAAATTGGAGAGATTTTACGTACGAACTATAACTCGTCGGTCAATAATATATAATGGTATAATTTGAACATGATTTGGTCGTGTTGCATGTTCCCCGTGGTGGCAAGCACCAGCTTTGAGTTACATTATCGTCTATTGATGATATTAATTTGGTGATCTAGTCTAGTCTGATCTAGTCTGGCTTATTTAAGACTGGTCTAGTCTGAACTGATCTGGTAGATGTTGGTTTCAATGTATTTTACAATAATCAAAGTCTGGTCAGATCTTGTCTACAACTCAAACTTGCCCAAGTAAAAACATCCTCAGTGGGCTTTTCAGGAAGTCAGAAGTGGCTAAGGTGGACATACTACTAGGGGTGGTTCAGTACGGTATACCTTATATTTTTTCTCATACCTTTGTCGTAGCAAAACTTTCGGTATGCAAAATTTGCATACCTTTACCTTGCTGAAGTTTTGGTATACCACATTTCGGTATACCGAAGTTTCGGTTCGGTAACAGTACGGTATCGGTAAATTACCGTGCATGTCTCCCAATACAAAAAAAATTATCATAGACTAACGAAATATACTGAATCGTTATTACTAGCGACATATTAAATCTATTATTATGTTACGAAATATAATTAATAATCTATTCATGTTTATTCAATATTGGACAATAATTATTATTATTAGTATATTTAAGCCGTTCAACATGTCACATATTAAAAAGTAACACATTCTCCTAAAATAACTTGAACAATATAGATATAATTAAATCAATAGTGATCTCTAACAAAAATAAATAAAACTATTCAAACAACATGGATATAAAATCATTTATTCCTAATATGATATTGTGTATTTAGTCTTTTTTATAATTTTTAAAAATTGAATAAGATTTTCGGACAAAGTTGTGTGTCTCGACTCACGGAATCCCTATGTAGATACACTTGTCACATAAGTGTATCTTTCTTCACTCGTCAGCTACTTAACGGCCAACTATCACGACTTGCAAGCTCTTGACATTTGTACATTACTCATTAGTCATTAAGGTTGGCGTAGTAGAAGCCTATAAGGTTATGGAGGGTTTGAGAAATTGGGCTTTTATTTTTGTATTTTTGTATTTGTAACCAACTTAAGTATTAATTTTGGGCTTCAAAATTGTAATAGGTTTTTAAAATTGTATTAATTGTTGAGTAGCGAGTCGGTACGGTATTATACCGGTATACCGCGGTATTTGAAAACATTTACCGTTACCGTACCGAAATAGATCGGTACGGTATGATACCGTACCAAAAATGATGGTATAACAATATTTCGTTATTTTCCGGTACTTTTTGGTATGGTAAATGCGGTATACCGATTTTTCGGTATTTTTGCCCACCCCTACATACTACGTTACAAAAACTATGTTTTTAGTTAGACTGATTTCAGTCTCAAACTAGATTTGATTAGATCCGACCAAATTAGATCAGACAAAATTAAACAAAATAAATTAGTTCAAATCAGACCATACATAGAAAGTTATAAAATACACATGAGACATACATATATCGGATCTGATCAGACCTGTTCAGATAAGTTCAAATTAGATCAGATTTAAACAAATAAGATATGATCAAATCAGACCAAAAAAATTCATTCCAATTAAAAATATTATTAGTAGTTATTCATTGAAGGCAATACAGAGATTACTTTAGCGATTTATATGAATTAATTGAATTATATTGCTTCCCATTTTTAGTTATTGAAATGAATATTTTCATGTTTCGCAATACAATACTTTACATTAATAAAAATTATGAAAATATATACGGAGTATATTGGAATTTACTTAGAGGAAAATATTATACTACGTATTATTTTAAATTTTTTGTAAAAGAAATAAAATGTGATAAAAGTAAAGTATGTGAATAATGTATAAGTGAAAGTGTTGGAACTATTCTCTATTAAAGAGCCGTGAGTAAAATATAATGTATGTAATTTTAAGTAAGAGTGTATGCTTTTTATTTATTTATTTTTTTGAAAAATAAAGAATTAACTTCCATTAATCAAGTCAAAATCGAGTACAGAGCAAAGGAAAGACGGAGGAAAATCAAACCAAGAACGAGAATCAGACAAAAAACAAGCCGCCTTAGCAAATTAAAGCGTGGGCAGTCTTATTCGGTGACCTCCTAATGTGAGTAAACGATCGAGATGCTAGAAAAGTTCTTCGCAATGTTCTTATATCTTCAGCAAGCAACCCGTAAGAGGACCAACTAGAGCCGTTCAAAACATTTTATTTATTTATTCGTAAAGATTGTATTGTTATGTAAAAATCAAGAGTTCAACCTAAGAATCTTCTTCCCATGTTCTCGTGTTAGATTAAAACCCCCCAAAAGCTCATTTTGATATAGACGTACTACGTGTAAAAGTGTTTGACTATTATTTGTTGGAAAACAGAGTGCATAGAGGGTCAGAGGGACAATAATTAATGTAATGACCCGAGAGTCACGTTTGGCAACTTGCGTTTGAATGGTTTGATAGGTAAACGATCTTCAAATTCTTATAACAAAAGCTATTTATATTGATATAAGAAAACATGATGCACCACCTTAAAACAATTCTTACAAATTTGATCTTAAATTCTAGAAATATACACAAAGTCACCCACATCATTTAAAGCAATCTCACTCGTGAGACACAAAATGAACAAATTTAAATCTAATCAATGGGAACGAAGCACTAACTAATATAAGATCACCAAATATCCAAATATTCCAACCTGACATATTCGAACTAAAATGAATATAATAGAAGTACTACTAAAACGCAAATAATACTAATAAAATAAAGGAAAATTTGAAAACAATAATCCCAACTATGATTGGTCCGTTGAAAATAATCCCAACTATTGATTATTTTTGTATAATCCCAACTATATAGACTATCCGCCAATAATGGTCCATGACCATATATTACCTCTATAAAAAGTGAATTTTAAATAGAAATTAAGCGTAAAAATTAAAAGTTGAGATTATTTATAGGGATTACTTGTTATATCTCATCTCATCCACTTTAGAAACTACAAGAATTTATTCATAGGGACCATTATTGGCGGAAGGTCCCTAAAGTTGGGATTATTCTGTAATAATCAATAGTTGGGATTATTATGAGCGGACCGCCAATAGTTGGGATTATTACTATCAATTTTTCCTAAAATAAAATAAAGTCTTTCCACAAATCTCTTCCTAACTCCCATTTTGGCTTTGGTGGAGGATGAACTGGTATAATCATTGTTCTAAAAATCGGCCTAGGCGGTCTAGTCGGCCCTAACCGTAGAGGCCGAATCAGCCTAGTCGGCAAAAAAATCGGCCTGGTCGGCCAAAAAATCGGCCTGGTCGGCCAAAAAATCGGCCTGGTCGGCCAAAAAATCGGCCTAATCGGCCGCCTAGGCGCTAGGCGCCCCTCAACCGCCCGACTAGCGCCTAGCGAGTTTGAACAATGGGTATAATATGGATGAACAATAATCTTTTCTTCGTGCTTCGTTTTGAATAGTCGTAGAGTTATGCAAGTAAAAATAAGATGCATCTGTCATACTCTACACAACCCGAAGCAGACGTACAATTTCAGATTTACATACATCACCAATCTAGAAATTTTCTTTCAAAAATAAGGCTTCATTTCCAATTATGGTGCCACTTTTTATTGGCCTATTTAATAACCCTTATTTTGATCTTATCAATCATTTTCTTTAAAAACGTATAATGTAGTTTTTTACTTCACACACTGAAATTAGTAATAATCAAAGTAAATAAAGATGGAATTATTTTTCTTGTTAAATTGATTGATGTTGTTGTTGAGTACCATTTTAGCTACTTTATACTTGTATGTAATTTTTTCTTAACTTTTTAATAGAATATATTTTAAATACTACATATATTTTTTCACAATTGAACAAATTCAACCAATTCAGCGATTCTAGTCACAATTTCATAACCTTCACCAAATTTAGCTAATTTGAATGCTGAGAAAGGTGCCCTACATCTTTCGGTAATTTTAAGTACTCCATGTAGTAGTTTTTAATTAGTAATTTTTTGGGACAATAAGTATCCATGTGTCTGAATATTTAAGTGATTATTACATTCGCCAATTCTTCTATTAAAAAATGTGAAATTCTTAACCCCAATGAATTTCCTTGTTTCAGCAGTTAATGATACGGATTATCATGTAATTGACGTTCATTTAGTGGTTGGAACGTAAAGACTGGTCTTAAAAATAACATTATAAATGAAATTCAACCATTAAGATATGCATATGATCAAGTATATATATGACACAAATTCAATGTTGAGATGAAAAAACATAAATAAAAATATTTCGAAGGAATGAGTATTTAATTTGATGTTTTCTTGCGAAAATACTACGTATAAATTTCATTTATGAATTTTCCACTCTAGCACTTTTGTTAGGAGTATGTTCTTTAGCTTGGTGGCGCGCCAATGCCACCAACGACTCAACGCGCTCCTCCACCTTCTCTCCCAATTCTTCCACCTTATCGATTAACTCTCCCAAGTTCTCGGCGCTCTTATCGGCTTTCTCAGCCGCACGTTCCACCATCGCCACCGCTTCTTTCAAACTTCCGTCCGGAAGAGTCCCGCCTATTTCTTCGGCCACTTTGTCCACCACCTCCGCCACCTTCTCTAAGCCGTGGACCACTTCTTCCACCTGTTCTATAGAATCTGTACGTACACTCACAAAATGTCAACAACCTTATTTTGCAAAAATATCTAAAAGCAAACACAAAAAGATTGGAAATAGTCCGTACAGTTTTGACTTCGCACCACATTTTTTTTTGATGATATTGAACTTTGCACCTTATTTTAAAAACTTTGATTTTGCACCTACCCTATCATACAACATTTTGTGAAGATTTTTGTTTTAAATGAGGTGCAAAGTTCAATTTCATACAAAAAGTGGGGTGCAAAATCATATTACCCCATATATTAATTAGGTTTAATGCATTTGTGACGATTGAAGGTAGAAATTTTGATTAAGGTGATTAAAGTTAAAACGTACGCGACATTTAATTATCGTCAATAACGATATTCTTATAAGTTAATTAAGTTAGATAAAAGTGAATTTGAGCTTCCAATAACAGATAAATTTTGTAGAAAATATATATGAAAAAATATGGATATTAAGTTTGCATATATACTTTTCAAGTGTAAATAAACATTATTCAATTGCAATAAGTTTTTAAATATATGTTCATAAAGATTAATAACGTTTTATACGTAAGTATAATACTTAATTAGTATAATATTTAAATACATTAATAAATAAATCAACATGATCAAATTAGACTAATTTGTGAATAACGCAGAAATCAGACTTGTATAATTAATAACTATTAAAGAATGAAGTAATAAATTACGAGAAGACTCGATCTCAGACATATATACTATTGCTTACTATGTATGATTAAAACCGCAAATACAAAGTAAATCTCACTTCTGATTTGCATAAGAGACCCAAATTTGTGACGGAAAAATGGAATAACCGCAGATAGCAAAATCCCTATCAGCCAACCCTTTCTGCAAATAGGCAATTATTTAAGACGGCAGGAGTGATTGAGTAGCATGACCATATATAAGAGGAAGCAGGGATGGAGTCGGGACACTCGGTCGGACTGGGCAAAAATATTTTTGGATTTATTTTACACAGAATATATTCTTTACACTAAAAATATAAGCAGTTTTACAATTTGGGGTGGACCGGGGCCAGGGTTGGCCCCGCCCCCTAGCTACGCCCCTGAGAGAATCAGGAAGGATATATTCCAAAATTACCACAACGTTGAGGGCTGTAGAGATTAGTTTCCATTTTTTCAATGAAATGTAGCCTTGATAAATTTTGTTATAACTGTGAACTTAACCATAGGACGTAGGGTTCGAGTATCTTACATGGGATTGGGGTCGAGGAAAGATCCAGCAACAGGTTCGATACCAGCTCCCCCGCCAATGCATGCAACAATACCTCTGCAATTTTTTATTGAAATTATTTCTCTTACGCCGAATATATTATGCGCGCTTGTTTTGAGAAATTACAATTTAAAATCTACATAATTCTATTACATAGTACTACTCGTACTACATACTTCCTCCGTTCTTAAATAAATGCAACGGTCAACATTTCACACTTGCCGAGACACAACTTTGAATATTAATATAAATGATTTTGTATTAGTAAAAAAAATTAAAAAATTAGATTATGAAAATTTACAAGGAGACAAGTTTAACAATATTTTTTTCATAAAATAATATTATTACATTAATAAATAAAACGTATTCAAAGTAGAACATGTGAATAGTGTAAAAGTCAAAGTATTGCATTTATTTAAGAACTACGAGTATGTTTTATTATCCGTCACTTATGATGACTGATAAAGGATTGTACATATCCACCATGGACTAGAGAAGACGTGACAGTAATCTTGTACTATCACATGTCCCGTGGATATTTTAAAGAAAGAAGAAGATAATAAGTACAATATGACATTAAGAGCCCGTTTGGAGCCAATGTTTTTCGGCTTATCAGTCAACTTTTTCACCAAACATGTAATTTTTGATTTCGCGCGCTGAATTGTGTAATAATAAGAAAAAGTTAGGTTGAAGTTACTTTTCTGGCTATATTGGCTGAAGTTATTGTAGAGGATCATTTTAGCTATATTTTCATATAATTATTTATTTATTTTATTAATTATAAATATTTTAAATATAATTTTTTCATAAATCAGCATAATCAGTCAATTCAGCCACTTCAGCTAGAACTTCATAAATATCGGCAGAATCAGTCAATTTCAGTGTTACCAAACGGGCTCTAATACTGCTATAGTGCTATATAACATGACAGTAATTTACTAGAAAGGATAAATACTCGTATTTTAGAATTTTTAGAATCTCAAGTTTTATTTATTTAATTTATTTTTCCTTTTTTTAGAACCGTCATTTTATTTTTCCTTAAATAATTTACCCATGCAATATATATGTATTATACGAAATTAACCTCTTAGGTACAGGGCGTAAAGCATGATGACTACTGTCCAAACTTTTGGCAGTTTCAACAAGTGAAGAAGAGCAAAGATTGAAGTAACTTCCGACACCATTTGGGAAGAGAAAGCTTTTTGAAGTGTTTATGGGCTTAGAAATAAGGTTTCCACTCGACGGAAAACCAGGAGGAGAAACACCGCCGGGGAAACAGCCTAATGGAGCTGCCATTATCGATCTGAATATCTGATCCAAGATTGAAAGAAATTTGAACCTTAGCTTGCACAATTATTTTTCACTAGTATATAAATATAATTCAAACTTTTCTGTTTTTTGTACGTTAATTCTATGGAAATGGATGAAGTTTATATCATATATAAGATGCATGGAGGGCTGGGGAGGGGTATAGTTGAATCTTGAATTTATTCCGGGTAGTTGATGATGATTTAGAAAATATATATGTGATTGGCTGGCTAGCTTAGGGATGGGCATATATACATTATATATTGCCAAATGCCAAGGCATTGAATTGGTAATAAGTATTATTTGTCATAATCAATTTTTGATTGATTATATTGAGATCTCTATAGCTAATAATTTGCTGTACAACAAGTGGCACTTGAACAATATAATATGAATTGCATTATGCACGAAAATGGTAAGAGCTAGAATTAGCTTATGTATGAGCAAACTTTTGTGTATTTATCAAAATATGACTTATGTATTTTTACTAATATGATGCCACATAACATTCATGCATGTTTTCATACTATATGGAATATAATTCTCTTTTTCTTATTCCATTCCATCGTTTCCTAGTCATATGCGTAGTATTACGAAGCAATCATGCATAGTCGTACATTCGGATTGCAATTAGTTTTAGTCTTAAACAGGTAATTTCAATTCCCCTGATTATGCAAATTTTATTTGAATATATGTATATATAGTATGAGTCCCGTTCGAGTCAGGCCGGCCTGACCGGAAGGCCCGTGCGACCTTCCCCTTTTGGGTGCCTTCCCGGTAGAATTTTTTGATGAAATTTTTTGAGCATGTTCCTCATCAAGTCTGGTTTATCCATATCAAATGTCAGCTCAAACTTTGACCGGGAAGATAGTCAAGTAAATTCTTGAAACATACTGCACTTTATATATGCGCAGAATGCCCAGTATGTTTCAAGAATTTATTTGACTGCCTTCCTGATCGAATTTTGAGCTGAACTTTGGTATGGATAAACTAGACTTGATGATTAACATGCTCAAAAAAATTCATCAAAATATTCCACCGGGAAGGCACCCAAAAGGGGAAGGTCGCACAGGCCTTCCAGTCAGGCCGACCTGACTCGAACGGGACTCTAAATAGTATTTCTATCCGTCAGCCTGACAGGACTCCCGAGTCTAGTGTAGAACCTTTATTTTTGGCAAAAAAAAATAAATGATCCATTTTTTTACTATTTAATATTGACAATTAGTTTTAGAAGTTACATTTTCGGAAAAAAAAAAAAAACTTTCTAAGTTTAATTTCATTTTTTTGTAATGACTTAAATTTAACCTTATATAAGTATCATAGGTGTTATTGTGTAACAGTGAGTTTGTAAGTTCCATTTTAACAAATACTCCGTAGTTAAGACAAATGAGTAAAAAAACGGATCATTTAATTCATTTTTGCTAAAACTGATTGTGTTTACACAACTCGGTAAAGTCAAATTGCTTAGGTAGATGGCTCAGAAACTCGCCTATATAAGTGTATAGGGTGCATGTAGAAGCCGATTCTCCATGCGAGCACGGTCACAGTGATGGAATGCTCAACGCTAAGAGCAGTGAAACTCATGCATGCATCAGGCAGGGCCCGCCGGCAGTGGAGGACCTAGGGCGGGGCCTACCGGGGCAAGTGCCCCGGCTTCCGGCCAGGAATTTCACTACTAGTACTTAGGGTAAAATAGGTGTCCCTGCTTCGGCCCAAAAATTTCACTACTACTTGGGGTAAAATTAGTGCCCCAACCCGTACAAAAAGTTACTAGTATTAGATAATCAAGATACTAAAATGTTACGGTTATATACTAAATTGTTATTTGCTGATTTGGGGATTGTTTGTTTACTTGAAATTTGATACTTTGGAGATTGTGAATGCGCTCTACTTAAGGATTAGGGTTCTGTAAGGTTTTTAGTTTAATTTTTAGAATTGATTGTATTTGTCTTTTTTATTAGAAACATGAGTTTGGATAACTTTGTAATTCGGACTAAGAGATTAACCCGAGGGGTAGTTCTTCGAACGTTGTAATCAGTCTATCTCAAGCAATGTAAATGTTGTTGCTCCGAATGTGAGCATTGTCCGAGATGAGTCTAATGACACTAGGGGAGACAAAGAGCCCACATAGATAGTACGTGTGAGTGGGATATCATTAGCGATCCCGCATTACGAAAGCCAATCATTGAATATGAGCCTCGAGTAAGAGATGACGTGATGAGAGCTTATGTCGGTAAAGGTGCTTGTCAACCGTTGTCTCATGATTTTCCACGAACTTTATTTGGGAAAAATGAGATGTTTTGGAGCAGAGTGGTTTAAAAATTGGGAATAGTTGGAATTAGGGGTGTAAATGAGCCAAGCCGTTCGCGAGCCGCTCATGAACCGCTCGGTCAACGCTCGACTCGAGTTTGGTCAAACTTAAGCTCAGCTCGAGTTCGGCTCGGCTCGAGTACTTAACAAGCTCAATTCAAGCCTAGTTATTTTAGGCTCGTGGCTCGTGAGCCGGTTTGTGGTTGTATTAGTAATATTAGTAATAATAATAATAATAACAATAAGCACACAATAGGATTAAAGGTAGCAACCCACCCGGATTCGAATCCCTTTATTAGAAATTTTACTCCGTACATTTGAGATCTGCTCCTTCAGTTATGCTTGCATCCATTTATCCCACACCGGTGGAAGAGAAGAAATGAGCCTTGGAATGCCTCAATAAATCCGGACATCTCCCACTCTTAAAATAGGTTGCAAGTAATCCTTCTATTTGTGCTGTAGCCACGAAATGGTTGTGCAAATAGCCTTCATTGGCTTTTTCGAGTGGCCTCTATTTTGGGGTGTTTATTTTAAAATTTCGTTTAGTTTAATCCCTTTATTCAATTGAACCGATTTTTTCAGCTTAACGAGCCGAACTCGATCTGAATTTGAGCTTAAGTAAATGAACTCGCGATCTGAATTTGAGCTTAAGTAAATGAACTCGAATGGAGTTGAAAGAGCAATTCCAGAGCAATTCCAGGTGTGTGGATATATTACCAGTTGTAACAGCCATAGTTGAAAGAGCTTTCTCTGCGATGAATAATATCAGGACAGATCTTCGTAATAAGATGAAAGATGATTATCTTACAGATTGCTTGGTGTGCTACATCGAGAGAGATGTTTTTAGGAGTATTGATAATGAAACTAATATACAACATTTTCAGAATATGAAAACTCGTAGGTTTGATTTACCAAAGTTGCAGAAATGAACTATTTAGTACTCCATATGTAATTAACTACTCCGTATAATTTATGTTATTGTCTTACTTTTTACCATCTTTATTACATTTGAAATTTTTATTATAGAGTAAGTTTAGTGTCTAGTACTCTAGTGTGCCCCTGCTCTGACAAATCTCTGGGTCCGCCACTACCCGTCGGTCCTCCCCATTTCTGCGTCTATGGGAGAAATACTATTGAGCTTATACCCATGACAAACCGTAAACTATACATATTTAAAATATGAATTATAACAAAAATAACTAAGAAGGTCATAAAATAAAGACAAAAATCACTTATTATCATTATTAAAACTACATATTCGGGAAAAAGTAACAACATAAGTATTACATAAAAAGAAAAAATATTACGTAATACTTAAAGCGTCTCACACAGAACAATGTGAAGCAAATGATCAATAATAATATTTACTTAAAAGGAATAAAAACATTAAAAGCCGAAGAGATGTGAAGACTGAAGAGACGTGTCTTTTATTGATTCAACAACGATTTTGTTGCTTTAAAAACTACAATTGATCCTACTTATTATAATTAATGTCTATTCTTTTTTAAACTTCGCTTCGTTTAAAACTTTTTACCTGCCTATGTTCTATACTCCGTATTTTTTTTCAAATTGTAAACATGAAATAAACATTAGACCTAATTAATTGAACTTACAAAAAAAGAAGCCTACTCACACTGCAAAAAATTGGGCCTATTTCCCCTCATTGGCTGGTGACCAAATCCTTGTCTTCACATTTGAAATGAAATAAAGTACAAGCATCCGTTTATTTTAAATGCAATGGTTGTTTTGGTGTCCCCACTCTTTAGATTTTTGACCTCTATAATCAACCCCTCAATTGTAGTGGTAGGTGCGGTAATTGTTTAATTTCTAGCTAGCATTTGAGCTTGATCACGTTCCCCGCTATATAATGCTTTCTTGTTGTGTGGTGTCATGTCAAGAGGATCCCACTTGTGCTCAGAAGTAAGCACTTACTTTTTTGAGTTTTGCTAGATGTACCTCAGGTACACAAAATGTGTACACAAAATGTGTACACATGCCTATCCTTCACAGAAATTTTGTTTGTCACAGACAAATCGAATTGAGTTGTCCACTACTAACTTGAAGTCCACTATACAAGTGGGACATCAAGTTACTAGGATCCATCACTGTGTTCTTTAATCCCAACAAATATTGAAGGAGAGAAGTATTCTTGCCTAAAGGCTTGGAGGAGCGACACCCATGTTGTGAAGTGACCAGTTAGAAAACTATTTTGACATAACGATGCCCTATCTTGAAGTGAGAAAGGAAATAGGGTCACTCCATCGAATCAGATGCTTGGCACACTTTAATTAGGTGAATTACCACTTCATGTATATATGATCATCTTACTTGGACCCTCCAAATTGATGGTTTAACATCATTATTGATAATGGCAAGTTTGATCTTGAAACAGGCTGCTTCAATGGCAGGCACATTGATTATAGGGAAAAGTACAGAAAACGTACTTGTGGTTTGAGCCATTTCTAGATAAGGGCATGTGTTTCATTTTCTAACAAAGTGGGGCATGTGTTTCAATTCCGTTATCATAGCAGGGGCATGACGTCTAACGCCGTTAGAAAAATTAACTCCGATTTTAAAAAGTCTCCGAAAAATTAAAAGAAAAATACTGAGAGGTGCGCCTCGTCAAGGAGATGAACAAACTATCTTTCTCTTTGGATTTTTTGGCTCGATTTGGATTATTTTTTAAAAACAAATTCGCTAATATCAATTTTCTGGTGGACTTTCTGGAGAAATGGTGGCTGGAAACAAAAAAATAAAGATAGTTTGTTGATCTCCTTTACGAGGAGCACCTCCGAGTATTTTTCTTTTAATTTTTCGGAGACTTTTTAAAATCGGGGTTAAGTTTTCTAAC